CAGTCAGTGTGTCTGCTGACCCAGGTTCAGGAGAAGGTGACCTGGGATCTGGGCTCATCAACAGCTTCCCAGCGGGAGTGACAGGCACCTGTTGGGAAGGTCCTGCTCCCCATGGCCCACAGCCACCCACACCCTGGGGGGTAGGAAAGCCCCAGTGGGTGAGAGGAGAGGACACAGTCAGAGCCTCAAGCCCAGGGAACCCCACTCACAGGAGCCCCATGGGCCCGAGTGGTGTCAGCTGGGAGAACGTCTCCCCCATAGACCCAGGTGCCCGCATCCTTCCTGGAGCAGCTCAGCATCCAGCCACCGTCCAGCTCGCTCACCCTGTCGAGACCCAAAGAGGGTTCCTGGGCCCAGGCCACCCATTTCCCTCTGACAGCCCCTCTCCCCAATGGCACTGAAGGTCAGGGTCCCAGCAGAGGTGACGGCCAGCCCTGTGCCTGGGCTTCCTCCTGGGCCCGAGGCTCCCCAGACCCTCAAAGCTGAGAGCCTGGTCCGTGTGCACAGGGCTGGGCAGGAGCCTTGGGCGAGGAGCCTGGGGACTGAGGGGTCACTGCTCTGACCTCTGGGTGCGGAGTCCATGCTCCGGGGACGGGCCGCCTGCTGGGAGGGTCCAGGGCTCTGGGAACCGTTTCCAAAGCTGTTCCCTTATTTCAAGTCAGAAACAGCCATCGCACGGACCTGGGCTTCTTACCCACGGAGGACAGGCCACCTTTCAGGAACATAATGACCATTGAGTTTTGGTGTTGGCTCAGATACATGGGATACAAATAAAAAGTGACGCATTATAAACCAGAAGCTACTTCCAGACATAGTTTGCACTTGGAGGTTATGTTAACTGGTTCAGTTGCTGTGAAATAAGACTCTGGGGAGGCTGAGGTTTTTGTCCCACTTCCCCATCTGTGTGTGTCACTGTGAGAAGCACTACCGGTCCAGATCATACAGTAATAGTCAGCCTCGTCCTCAGGCTGCAGCCCCGAGATGGTCAGGAGCCCCGCATTGGCCGAGGCGTCTTTGGATCCAGAGAAGCGGTTGGGCACCCCGGAGCCCTGATCCTTACTTGAGTCTGAGTAGTAGTACAGGAGGTACCGGGGAGGGCTCGCTGGCTTCTGCTGGTACCAGTATATGGTATAGCTGCCAACATTGAAGCCACTGCTCAGGGTGCAGGTGAGTCTGGCTGTGGCTCCCGGAGATGCAGAGAGGGAGGGCGGCTGAGACAGCACAGGCTGGGAGAGGGACCCTGCAGACACAGACACTGGTCAGTGATGGGCAGGGACCAGGGGACATTTCCCAGGAGACTGAGCAGGAAGGGAAGAAGCCTGGTCCCAGGCCTGTCCCTACCTGTGCAGTGAGAGAGGAGTGCGAGGAGCAGAGGAGTCCAGGCCATGGTGCTCACAGCCCTGAGCCCACAGTGGGGCTGGGCTGCCCAGGCCTCCTTTTCTCCCCGACCCTCTGCCAGGGGAGGGGCTGCCATGCAAATGGGGGTCCCTCCAGGGACTGCCCAGCCCCTCCCTGGGCCCTGGGGCTGGAGCTCAGCTCACACCCCAGACTGAGGGGCATGGAGGTGGCTCACCTCTTGGGGGGCCCTGGGAGGAAGCACCTGCTGAGACCACACACAGGTGCCTGCTCAGGGGGCACTGCCAGGCCACCAAGGACAGCAGGGAGCCCACAGTGCAGGGGCCTGTGTGTGAAGGTCTCTCTGAACAGCTGTGTGCTGATCACCTGGCAGTCCCACAGCGCCCCCTGCTGGTGGGAGGACACACCCTCCCCTGCCCCAAAGCCCTGACAGCCCAGCTGGCTGTGGGCTCCCAGGTCTCTGTCCCTGTTCCCACACCCACGGTCTGAGCCCAGATCCTGCGATGTGATTCTCTGTACTGATCACCGTAGCATTTCACTCTCAGGTCTGCAACTGTGTGATGAGCTTAAAGATTCACAAATGACAAATGAATACGGTTTCTCTTCCAGGAAAGATGCTGCACAAATAAATGCACAGTGAGCCTCTTGTCCAACCTCACAGGTGAGGGAGCTGCTCAGGTGTGATGAGCTCCTGGGGGCTGTTCAGGTCAATGAAGGAGAGAGGAACTTTCCAGAAATACCCTCAGGGTCACATTCAAAGGAGGACCATTCAGCAAACATTTCAAACCATGTAAGGGATCAAATCATTGTCATGTTATTTGAGTCAGTGATTCATTATGAAAAAACGGTTTGGTGGGCTCCACATTTACTGGTGGGCCTTGTCGCATGTGGGGCATTTAAATTTTAGGAAAAGCCTTTATATTCCAACAGTTGTATGTGCTGCTTTTCTATGAACCAATTTTATGTTCGCTGTCCCAAAATGTGCTTATATTTTAAATTCCCTGCCTGTCCTTTCGTGCCTGTTTCCTCGTTTTCGACACAAGCTACAGGGGACGGTGAGGAGCTGGCAGACGTGGTGACTGACACTCTCCCCACACGTAGGACGCGTCCCACAGCAGCGTGTGAGCTCCTGAGGGGGGAGGGCATTGCCCCAAAGACCAGGAGCCACACTGTGGCCCTCACTCCTCAGGGCTCAGGGTCCCCGAGAGGAGCAGCCAGTGACTCACAGGAGGAGTGAGTGTCAGAGCTCAGCACTGTGGGGGGGACAGCGGTTGTTCCCAAGGACCCCGGTGGGCGCTGCAGCCTGAGACCCCGGGGCCGGGGCAGCAGGGACAGAGGGGCCTCTCTGTGCACAAAGGCCTCAGCCGCTCCCACTGAGCATCAGGGAGGAGGGCCCGGCTGGGGAAGGTCCTGGACACAGTCACTGACCCTGAGAGAGACGCAGGGGCCCTCGTCGGGGTTCAGGTCTGAAGTGACCACAGATGGTCCCCAGCTCAGACCCGGGGCTGCAGGGCCAAGGGACTCAGTGTCCCCGCTGATGGGGATGGGCCTCCTGTTCTGTGTCAGGCCTTGTGTCCAGGAAGAGGCTGCTGTGAGGGCCTCTGAGGGGAGAGGGCGGAGGCCCATTCATGCTCCAGGGGCTGCCCTGGGACCTGGCCCCTGGTGTTTGGGGGAAGCAGCAGTAGAAGCAGAGGCCACAAGCTGAGCCTGAGAGGAGGTGTTGGGGGCGCCCCTCCTGGCAGGTGAGAAGGGCTCCCTGTGTCTTCACTCCAACAGGACGGGCTCTGGGTGGGCACTGGGGCTGCGGGCACAGGAGGGGCCTGGACAGGCAGCCTTGGTCTCAGTGCCCGCCCAGCGGGGCTCACGGAGCCTGAGGTGCCAGACTTGCCCCAGGGAGCGGATCAGGGACCACACAGGCATCTGCTCTCTGGCTGGATGGGGGTCCCAGGCTGTGTGGGGAGTCCCAGGTCACAACACACATACGGGGCCTCCCTGAGGGGCTCTGACGCAGGCACAGCTGGTCTCAGGGGCCTTGGGTCTGACCTGCCCCGTCCTGGCTGTCCAGGGCAGGTGCACCCTGATGCCCAGGCAGGTCTGCTCAGGCTGAGACACCCACACCGTGTGCTGCTGCCACGGGCGGGCTTGACGGGCAGTTCAAAGGGTGAGGACAGGTTTTGCAGACACAATCCTCTGGGGGTTTCAGCGCGCAGTTACCGACCACCAGCAAAGGCACAGCCGTCTCATCAGAGGATGGGGCTTCCCGGGCCCCACTGCAGCGGGACAGCGGGTTTTTGTCTCACTTCCCCACAGGCCTGCAGCACCGTGTGATCAACACCACTCCTGCTGTAGGACTGGCAGTAATAGTCGGCCTCGTCCTCAGCCTGCAGCCCCGTGATGGTCAGGGTGCCTGAGTTGCCAGACTTGGAGCCAGAGAACCGGTCTGGGACCCCTGAGGGTCGTTTGCTATCCTCATAGATGAGGAGTTTGGGGGCCTTTCCTGGGAGCTGCTGGTACCAATACACATAGGAACCACCCCCAATGTTGGAGCTGCTTCCAGTGCAGGAGATGGTGACCCTCTCGCCCGGGGACCCCGACACTGAGGATGGCTGAGTCAGCACAGACTGGGCCCAGGATCCTGCAAGAGGGGGAGACACAGAGATGGTGAGTCTGGGTCTAGAGACAAGAGGAGGAAGCTGGGCCATGTGTCTTCCCAAGGCCCCTTCCCCGTCCCCTCATCCAGTCACCTGTGCAGTGAGCCAGGAGGGTGAGGAGGAGAGGGGCCCAGGCCATGGTGGAGGTCATCCCTGAGTCCTGCTCCTGAGGCCCCACAGCTGAAGCAGAGCTCCCCACACCTCTCCCTTCCCCTCTTCATAGTCTGCGGGAGGGAGGGCCCACTCATGCAAATGAGGACCCCCTGGTTTGATCCTTCCCTAGGCCATGGTTCTGGTCCCTGTGCCTGAGGATGGCAGGGTGAGGGCGGGGGTGGGGCTGTGTGGGGCCCAGGGGGTGGCAAGGTCACAGCTGTGAGCCCTGAGCACAGGGCACCAGGCAGGGCCAGGGAACAGGTTGCAGCTCTGAGGAGCCCAGCCCTTCAGCAGCAGCCCCAGAGCGCCCCCTGGTGCCCAGGCCTGGATGCACCACTGTGTCCCCTGCTGACTGAGCCCATGAGGGACAGGTCCTGCCTCCCCCAGCTCTGTGCACTGACCCCCTGGCTCAGGGCGTCCAGGTGCCCCCTGAGGTGGCCTCCTCATCCCCTTAGGACACTCTCTACGTTCCCCTCCGCCTCCTCCGGGGAGTCTGAATTCATCTCCTGGTTATTCAGGGTCAGCACTGAGCTGGTGTCACAGCACTTTCTTCCCAGGATCATGTCCAGAGCAGCAACTGTCCCTAGGAGGTGAGTTCCCTAACTTTCAGGGCACAGTTTTCTTTAATATATTTCTCCCTTGTGAGAAATTAATCACTCTCTTTAAATATCCATCCCTTTTGTCCAGTAGATTATACATATTGCGTTTCTGCACATGCTTTTCGGTCAAGCTTCACCTAGTAACTGGCATCCTCATTGATAGGGAAATTGAATATAATATTTCCCACTCGTCTGTTTTCTGTCCATAGGAGAGTCTGGTGTCTGATTGTCTGACTGAGGCTCACTGTGACCCCAGCTCCCTGGACACAGAAGGGGAAGGGACAGTGACAGCACCACCGGGACCAGGGCCTGTGAGGGGGGGACACTAAGTGATGACCTCAGGGTGACCTGGAGAAGCACTTTGGGGGATGGAAGCAGAAGGAGATGCACCGTGGGGTGTGAGGTCAGAGGTCATGTGCAGGGCCTAGGGCCTGTCCCCCCCTGAGGGAGGTGGGGGAGGCAGAGGCTCCCAGGAGAGGGGGGCAGCGTCTCCATGGCAGCCAGGAACCTGCCTCCCAGGTCCTCCCTCTGGGAAAGGGAGGCCAGGCTGTGGGCTTGGTGCTGCTTCTCACTTTCCTGGGGGAACTGGACCTCAGGTCACTGCCCCCTGATGGGAAGGGCTGTGGTTTTTATTGGCCCTGAATGTGTCAGGACAATGGGGAGGTCAGGGGTCAGAGCTGGTCATGGTGAGGCAGGACCTACCTGCTGGGTTTCCAGACCCAAATGCATAGTGAGGAGGGTGGGGTAGAGGGAGGCTCAGGGCCCATTAGGGGAACTTCCTGTCTGTGTTCGCTCTGATCCGGACCCACACCTCCCAGCCACGGGGTCAGCAGGGGATGGAGCCCAGTTCCCGCTCCTGGGAGCTCAGAGGTCCCTGGCGATGTCCTCTCAGGAGAAAGAGCAAATCCCTGCTCTGACAGGTAGCCGAGCTCAAGGAGGGTCCCCAGGCCCGGGCCAGGCGCTGGGGCTGCCCGGCCTCCTTCCCTCCCGCCCTCGGCCAGAGGAGGGGCCGTCCCTGCTGATGTGGTCCCTCCAGGGACTGCCCAGCCCCCGGAGCCCTGGTGCTGCAGCTCAGCTCACCCCCAGGCTGAGCAGGATGGACTGTCCTGACGGGCTGTGTCCTGGAGACGCTGCCACAAAGGCCCACAGACTGAGCCCCCCAGAGCCAGGGAGAGGGTCCCTCTCAGGGGTGGGGTTCAAGTCTGAGGTCAAGGTGCTGGCAGGCCCGCCCTCCCAGGGAGGCCCCGGATAGGTGCTCTCTTGTCTCTTTCCAGCGTCTGGAGGCTCCGTCCAGCCCTGACATGGTCTCAGCTTGGGCCTCGGTCCCTGACTCTGTCCTCACAGCTGAGCCCGCGGGACACGCGCCCAGGCCTCAGAGAGTCTGTGGGAACCTGCTCTGGGGCAGAGGGGCCGGGGTTTGGAAGACACGGTGCTGTGACCCCCCTACAGGGTCCTGCCCCCCAACCTCACACGGTGTGAAGGGAAGACGGGAAGGAAATTCTTCTGGGAAGGAGGCCCCAACTGCATTTCAAAGTGGCTCCATTTGTATTGTTATTTCTACTATATTGTTAAGTTTTATCTTGATTATTAAATGCTGGGCGAGTGAAATGCACCCTTGACTGTGTGTGTGAGTGTGAATGTGAATGTGACTTTTCCTTTTGCTGCCCCTGTCCATTTCCTGTGAGACTGTTGCTTATATTGACTCTCACAGCTGAGAATAATTAATGCGACTGCCAGGTCTGGGGACTCGGAGACCAAACCTCAGAGCCACCCCAGCTGGACGCAGCCCCGTGAACAGCAGACGGGGCCCCAGAAGCAGCGGGTGCCCTGAGCCCTGTGTTTGTGCCCCACTTCCCCGCCCGCACCTGTCACTGTGGGGACGGCTGCTGTACCACAGGGCACAGTAGTACTCGGCCTCGTCCTCAGGCTGCGCCCCTGAGAGGGTCAGGGCAGCTTTGCCCCCTTGGATGGAGCCTGAGAACCGGGCGGGCGTCCAGGAGTGTTTATTGTTTGTGTTCTGAATCAGTGTTGTGAGGACCTGGCCAGGCTTCTGCTGGATCCATTGTGGATAGAGACCATCAGTGACAGCCCCTGTGCTGGAGCCACAGGTGAGAGTGACCGTGACGCCTGGGGACACGGTCGCTGAGGGCTCCTGAGTGACCACAGCCTGAGACCTGGACCCTGAAATAGAAGCAGACACGAGTCAGGGATAAGGAACAGAAGCCGAGGGACCCCTCCACGGGCTGGTCTCTGAAATGGCCCTGAACCTGGGCAGAGAGCAAGGAGGAGGAGGAGGAGGAGGAGGGGAGTCCAGCTCATGGTGGAGACTTTCCAAGGTGCCTCGGTCTCTTGCAGGTGCTGGTCTCGGGTGTCCCTTTATCTCCTCCCGGCCTCCTGGGCACAGGGGGTGTTTGCTGGTCATTATGCAAATGTGAGCCCACAGGACCCTCCTGTCCTGGGTCCTGGGCCCAGTTTGAAGCTTCACTGTGAGGAGGAGGCTGGGGAGGCTGTGGGCTCTGAGTCTGTCCCTTGAGGGGAAGCACCTGCTGTCACCTCACACCCAGGCCATGGGTATGGGCGCAGGGCCCACTCAATTAGAACCATGTGAGTTGGCTTCAGGCCTTGCGGCTCTGAGAAGAGCCACAGCGCCCCCTGGAGACGCCCTAGGGAATAGTCATTGTGGTGGGAACTGTGGAAGCAATGATGGTGGCCCCTGAAAATAGATTAGATAGATGATAGATGATAGATAGATAGATAGATAGATAGATAGATAGATAGATAGTAGAGAGATTGATTGATAGCTAGGTAGATGATAGATAGCTAGATAGATGATAGATAGATAGATAGATAGATAGATAGATAGATGATAGATAGATAGATAGATAGATAGTAGAGAGATTGATTGATAGCTAGATGGATGATAGATGCAAATATTATATTTCTGACTCGCTGCAGAGAGGTTCCCCCCTGTGTCCTCAGTTTGTAACTGCCAGAGGGCGTGCAACGGAGGGGGTGGGGACGAGTTTCGTGCCCATGAACCCGACACAGTTGGTTGCGGCCTGGCCCCTGCTCCACAGGCCTGGCGGGCTCCGGCTGCCCACGGCCCACCAAGGGGGTGCGTGCTGCGCATGCGGGGTCAGCGTAGCCTAGGGCAGCTGCAATCAGAGCCCCGCAAGGGGTCTTGAGTGTCTTAGCCATAGATTTGGGCTCTTGGGCAACAAGGGGACTGCTCCTTCCAAGGCTTAACCTACCCAGAGGCACATGCTCTCACTGAGCAGAGGCTGGAGGAGGGGCCTTGCCAGGAGGGGCCCGGCCTGGGCATCCTTCAGGGGAGACACCTGGGTCCTGCCAGGCATGAGGTCCGCATGGGGTCTGATTACCATCCATTCACAGCTGCCAGCTCAGGGAATACTCATTTATGTAAATACTAGAGGCCCGGTGCACGAAATTAGTGCGCCCAGGGGGGTCCCTCAGCCCAGATTGCAAGAGAGCTCAGGCCAGGCTGAGGGACCCACTGGTGCATGATCAAGGCCAGGAGGGAGGTGGGAGGTTGGGCAGCTGGGGCTGGACCACGGGAGGGCTCCATGGCGTGTCCAGCCCGTCTTCCTCAGTCCTGAGCAGCCAGACCCCAGCAGCAAGCTAACCTACCAGTCGGAGCGTCTGCCCCGTGGTGGTCAGTGCACATCATAGCGAGCAGTTGAGTGGCCTTAGCATATCATTAGCATATTACACTTTGATTGCTTCAATGGACCACCAGACACTTAGCATATTAGGCTTTTATTATATAGGATATTTTTATTGATTCCAGAGAGGAAGGGAGAGACAGAGAGAGAATCATTGATTGGCTGCCTCACTGGGGATTGAGCCCAGGCATGTGCCCTGACTGCGAATCGATTCTGGGACCTTTCCGTCTGCAGGCCGCTCTATCCACTGAGCCAAGCCAGCCAGGGCTCAGGGCGCATGTAGGGGGATGGGCTCCTCCACCAGGCAGGCCCCCAGGTTGTCGGATGGGCGTGGCCTGCCCACCTGGAGACTGGGTTGCCCAGGCGGTGGACAGTTTGCAGAGCTGGCGGGGGCCTGGCTGATTCTGTGTGGTGTGAGTGTGAACATGTGTGTGTGAGCTGTGTGTGTGCGTCTGTGTGTTTCCCCAGGAGTTATTCTTCCTTAACATCACACAGCTGCTTCTGAAATCGAACCCATGACAATCGCAGGCTTTCTTGAAATGAACTCCTACAGCGCACACCCCAGCATCCCCTGGGGCTGTGTCACCCCCCACACTCCCCTCCCGCTCAGCAGCTGGAGAGACAGAGTCACTGGCGTCAATGGCCCCGGCCTGGGGTCCTGATGTGGAGCCGCCAATGGGTGGGCCAGGCAAGTCTGATGCTCTGAACCTCTGACTGCAGGAGCCACTCAGCTGTGGGGTCGGCATTCACCGTGGGAGCGTCGAGCACCCTGGAGGCCCAGCCGCACTCCTTGCACTTGGCATGGAGCAGGAAGACTGTGACCTTGAGGGGGTCCCAGGAGACCAGCCACGTGCTGGACGCCAGCAGGTGTGGTGAGCGCCGTGCAAGACGTTCCCGCGGCCTCGCACGCTCAGTGCGCCCCGGGGAGAGGACTCGGAGCCGAGCCGGATGGAGGGTTGTGAACTACGGGCGTTCACTCCATCAGGTTCCAATGGAGAGGCTGGCTGGCACCTCCGTGGCCTTCAGAAGTGCTGAGTCCCAACTCATCGCTGAGCTTTCCGAGCTGCCAGGCTTGTCCGGGAGACAAGAGCCGAGGCTGCTACCCTCGCTGCAGGTCGGCCCATCCGGCCCACGTGGACACTTCAGAGACCAGACTGTATCTCTGGACCTTCTCTTCCCCCAGCCCCCCGGCGCCCCCCTACACACCGCTCTTCTTTATCTGACATGTTCATAGGGAGGGGAGGGGAGGATTGTAATTCCCTGAACTTGCTTCTCCCAAATTTTGTAGGAAAGCTGTACCCGGATGTTCTGTTGGTTGCAGCGTCTGGCCCGGGCCCAGGCTGTGCATTCTCCTGTTTGAGAGCACGCACTGATGTGGTATTTGGACTCAATCAGAAAACTGACGTTGAAACACACGTAAGAGAATTGTCAAGGCGACCCCAGTAGCAATTCATGATTAAACGTGGATCTGCGTGGACCAACGTGCAGAAACTGTGCCTGACCTTCATACAGGCATGGCATGGCCTGACATTTCAGAAGGAAGTGTGTGTGTGTGTGTGTGTGTGTGTGTGTGTGTGTGTGTGTGTATTTAAAACATTTGTATTGATTTCGAAGAGAGGGAGAGGGAGAGAGACATGGAAACATCAATGATGAGAGAGAATCCTTGATCGGCTGCCTCCTGTACATCCCCACTGGGGATCAAGCCCACAACCCGGGCATGTGCCCTGACTGGGAATCTAACCGTGACCTCCTGGTTCCTAGGTCGATGCTCAACCACTGAGCCACACCAATCAGGCGAATGTTTGTCTTTATACTTTTTTGATGCAATACTGGTAGAGCATTTTTTCCATGTGGTAAAGAGAAAAACAACCAAGAGGGAAAATTGAGAGTTTGGTGAACTATAAGAAAAGAAAAACAACAAATATGACACATCATCTCTCCCTCATAATAAATGTAACGGTGAAGGAGGGAGACAATAGAAAAACTGTAATCTAATTGGGCACATTGATGTCATGTTTTTCAATGACAGAATAGAACAACCACTTGCTACTTTTACATGAAAATGAATAATTCAATGATATACAAATAAAAAGACATGAGAAAAAGTTTAAAATGGAAATATATAAATATGAACCTTGATTGAAAAATAGATAAAATGCAGATTTTCTTAGAAAAATAGAAATTAAAAATATTAGAGAAAACTAAATAAATGGACCAATATCCTTAGAAAAAACTAGAAAACATAATTACGGAATTAATCCACAAACATGCATAAAATACAGGTAGTTTTACAGAGAACACTGAGACGTCAGAAACATGGAGAGGAAGATGAAGAGTAGCCACATTCTGCACAGGAAGGTGCTGCCAAGTGTGGCTTGGACATGAACAACTCATGTTACAATGGGCATCAGTCATGAGGCCCGTGGGGAGGCCGAGGTTTTTGTCCCACTTCCCCATCTGTGTGTGTCACTGTGGGAATCAGTATTTTCTACAGTCATACAGTAATAGTCAGCCTCGTCCTCAGGCTGCAGCCCCGAGATGAACAGGAGCCCCGCATTGGCCGAGGAGTCTTTGGATCCAGAGAAGCGGCTGGGGACCCCGGAGCCCTGGTCCTTACTTGAGTCTGAGTTGTAGGCCAGGAGGTACCGGGGACGGCTCCCTGGCTTCTGCTGGTACCAGTATATCCAGTAAGCACTGAACGAATAGGAAGCACCACTCAGGGTGCAGGTGAGTCTGGCTGTGGCTCCCGGAGATGCAGAGAGGGAGGGCGGCTGAGTCAGCACAACCAGTGAGAGGGACCCTGCGGACACAGACACTTGTCAGTGATGGGCAGGGACCAGGGGACGTTTCCCAGGAGACTGAGCAGGAAGGGAAGAAGCCTGGTCCCAGGCCTGTCCCTACCTGTGCAGTGAGAGAGGAGCACGAGGAGCAGAGGAGTCCAGGCCATGGTGCTCACAGCCCTGAGCCCACAGTGGGGCTGGGCTGCCCAGGCCTCCTTTTCTCCCCCACCCTCTGCCAGGGGAGGGGCTGCCATGCAAATAGGAGCCCCTCCAGGGACTGCCCAGCCCTCCCTGGGCCCTGGGGCTGGAGCTCAGCTCACACCCCAGACTGAGGACCATGGAGGTGGATTCACGCCTTGGGGGACCCTGGGAGGAAGCACCTGCTGAGACCACACAAGGGTCCCTGCTCAGGGGGCACTGCCAGGCCACCAAGGACAGCAGGGAGCCCACAGTGCAGGTGCCTGTGTGTGAAGGTCTCACTGAACAGCTGTGTGCTGATCACCTGGCAGTCCCACAGCGCCCCCTGCTGGTGGGAGGACACACCCTCCTCTGCCCCAAAGTCCTGAGAGTCCAGCTGGCTGTGGGCTCCCAGGTCTCTGTCCCTGTTCCCACACCCACGGTCTGAGCCCAGATCCTGCGATGTGATTCTCTGTACTGATCACCGTAGCATTTCACTCTCAGGTTTGCATCTGTGTGATGTGCTTAAATATTCACAAATGAAAATTAATATGGTTTCTCTTCCAGTAAAGATGCTGCACAAATAAATGCACAGTGAGCCTCTTGTCCAACCTCACAGGTGAGGGAGCTGCTCAGGTGTGATGAGCTCCTGGGGGCTGTTCAGGTCAATGAAGGAGAGAGGAACTTTCCAGAAATACCCTCAGGGTCATATTCAAAGAAGGCATTTGAACCCTGTAAGACAGGGGTCCTCAAACTACAGCCCGGGGGCCACATGCAAATACAAATGTTGTATTTGTTCCAGTTTTGTTTTTTTACTTCAAAATAAGATATGTGCAGTGTGCATAGGAATTTGTCCATAGTTTTTTTTAAACTATAGTCCGGCCCTCCAACGGTCTGAGGGACAGTGAACTGGCCCCCTGTTTAAAAAGTTTGAGGACCCCTGCTGTAAGGCATTTGCAGTTTCATACACATCTGATACGAGTTAGTGATTCATTAAAAAATAACACAGTTTCATCGGCTTCACATTTACCAGGGGAGGCCGCAGCACGTGGGAATTGTTGAATTTCAGGAATTGACTTTATATTCTTCCATCTGTATGTTCTGCTGCTCTGTGTCTCCTGTGTCTTGCACCGATTTTCTCTTTGGTGTGCTAACGTGTTTATATGTTAAAATCCCCGTCTGCATTTCCTGACATGTTTCCTCATTTGGGAAGAAGCTGAACTTGGCTGGTGCTGTGTGTGTGGATGTGGGGAAACCTGGGCAGTGAGCACAGAAGCCACCCCTCCTCCCCGCGCCCGAATCCGCCTCGGCCTCAACCTGCCGATGCTCCCGTGGTCCCCACACTGAGGCTCACGCGGATGCTGGTCGGTGCCAGTGACCAGGAAACCGCGTCCCTCGGGCGCTCTCTCCTCAGACACTAGAGCCTGGTCCCTTCTGCTCAGGCCGGTCCCCCCGGCCCAGAACCCTCAGTGCGTCCCCCTGCTCCTCTCCTCCACCCCCAACTCCCCAGCTGCCCTCAGGGCCCCCCGTGTGCTGGCCCTTCCTCCATGTCCAACTGGTGCCCTGCACATGCCCAGCTCCCCCAGGGCCCCTGGCTGCCCTGTTCCTGCAAAACCTCGGTCCCTGTCCCTTCAGGTCCTCCTACTGTCCACAGGTCCTCTGGGTCCCTTCATGGTGAGGCTGTCTCTATCGAGCATCTTGGGAAGGCGGTCGTGTTCTCTATGTAACTCCTCGTGGTAAACACGGAATGACTTCATCCTGGAATTCTGTGACGCAGCAAAACCCCAGTAGTCACCAGCCACACGGGGCCAGCAGAAGTCTGGCTGAGCCCCAGGACACTGACTTATGACAGAAACAGGAGACCACCTGGACCCCCTCCCAAGAGCCCGAGGTTCTCAGGCTCCATCCAAGGGGGCACAGCTGCCCTGACCCTCTCAGGGGCCCAGCCCGATGACCAGGCCCAGCACACTGCCCCCTACTGGTCTCTGATGCAGAGCCCTCCCCACCCCAGCCTCCCAGAGGGCACCCTGACTTTGCACTTGGATCTCTGTGATGTCACCTCCCAGCACAGAAGCAGTCGCTCACTCCATGGGCTGGGGCCTCAGGCACTGGCTCCTGAGAACTAAGGGGCCCGGGCTACTGCGAACAGGACGCGTTCACAGCTCCCCCGCGGCCAGGCATCTGGGCGGACCTGGCGGCGTCTTTAGCTTCGGCCACTTGTGCGGTGCCTTCCCCATGGAGGACCCTCTGGACCAAGTTCAAGGCTCAAACCTCTACTCCAGTTCCCACCGAGGAGGAGCCATGTGAGTCGCCCCCACAAGGTGGCCTGTGTTGTCATCGTTGTTGGGACAGACCCTGTGCGACCCTCCCTCTGCCAGGGTCCCGGCTCTTCAGGTCTGTCTCAGTCACTGCATGTAACACCATCTCAGAAACGGTGTTCGGTTCTCTGTTTTCCACACTCGGCTTTACTTTTTCCTCTCAGCTTTATCCTCGAGGAGCTCATATGCATGTGGCTACAGATAGGATGTTGTTATCTTTACATTTTGATAGTTCCCGGCTGTTATACAGACTACACTTCATTGCAGCAGGTTGGTATTTAATGCAAAATTCAGATTTGAGTCCTCAGACCAGGATCCTCTCTCAGTCACTCCTCCACTCGGATCTGACCTTGGCCTGAATGAATCTGATTCAGCCTCCTCCACTGTCTCCATGGGAACCTTCATCCCTGAGGAATGTTACCTGTGAGAACGTGAACATGGCACACATTCCATGAGCAACAAATCAATGGAAACGCTGACCTGACGTCAAAGCTGTGACCCTGTCAGGACCCCGGGTCCAGGCATCACCCGGATGGACAGCTATCAGTACAGTCACAGCTGAGCCAGAACTGGGCAGAACCGCCAGGAGGGGCCAAGGTCAGGCCAGGAGAGCAGAGAGGAGGTTTTTGTCTCACTTCCCTGTGGGTCTGGGCCACTGTGTGAGTCTTAGAGATGCCATCCCATGTTTCACAGTAATAGTCAGCCTCGTCCTCAGGCTGAAGCCCCGAGATGAGCAGGAGCCCCGCATTGGCCGAGGCGTCTTTGGATCCAGAGAAGCGGCTGGGGACCCCGGAGCCCTGGCCCTTATTTGAGTCTGTGTGGTAGAACAGGAGGTACCGGGGAGGGCTCCCAGGATTCTGCTGGTGCCAGCCTATAGCATAGCTGCCAACATTGGAGCCACTGCTCAGGGTGCAGGTGAGTCTGGCTGTGGCTCCCGGAGATGCAGAGAGGGAGGGCGGCTGAGTCAGCACAGGCTGGGAGAGGGACCCTGCAGACACAGACACTGGTCAGTGATGGGCAGGGACCAGGGGACGTTTCCCAGGAGACTGAGCAGGAAGGGAAGAAGCCTGGTCCCAGGCCTGTCCCTACCTGTGCAGTGAGAGAGGAGCACGAGGAGCAGAGGAGTCCAGGCCATGGTGCTCACAGCCCTGAGCCCACAGTGGGGCTGGGCTGCCCAGGCCTCCTTTTCTCCCCACCCTCTGCCAGGGGAGGGGCTGCCATGCAAATGGGAGTCCCTCCAGGGACTGCCCAGCCCCTCCCTGGGCCCTGGGGCTGGAGCTCAGCTCACACCCCAGACTGAGGAGCATGGAGGTGGGCTCACACCTTGGGGGGCCCTGGGAGGAAGCACCTGCTGAGACCACACACTGGTGCCTGCTCAGGGGGCGCTGCCAGGCCACCAAGGACAGCAGGGAGCCCACAGTGCAGGGGCCTGTGTGTGAAGGTCTCACTGAACAGCTGTGTGCTGATCACCTGGCAGTCCCACAGCGCCCCCTGCTGGTGGGAGGACACACCCTCCTCTGCCCCAAAGCCCTGACAGCCCAGCTGGCTGTGGGCTCCCAGGTCTCTGTCCCTGTTCCCACACCCACGGTCTGAGCCCAGATACTGCGATGTGATGCTCTGTATTGATCACCTTAGCATTTCACTCTCAGGTCTGCATCTGTGTATTGAGCTTAAACATTCACAAATGAAAATTAATATGTTTTTTCTTCCAATAAAGATGCTGCAAGCATAAATGCACAGTGAGCCTCTTATCCAACCTCACAGGTGGGGGAGCTGCTCAGGTGTGATGAGCTCCTGGGGGCTGTTCAGGTCAATGAAGGAGAGAGGAACTTTCCAGAAATACCCTCAGGGTCATATTCAAAGAAGGCATTTGAACCCTGTAACTCAGGGGTCCTCAAACTACAGCCCGTGGGCCACATGCAAATACAAAGTTGTATTTGTTCCCGTTTTGTATTTTGACTTCAAAATAAGATATGTGCAGTGTGCATAGGAATTTGTCCATAGTTTTTTTTAAACTATAGCCCGGCCCTCCAACGGTCTGAGGGACAGTGAACTGGCCCCCTGTTAAAAAAGTTTGAGGACCCCTGCTGTAAGGCATTTGCAGTTTCATACACACCTGATAGGAGTTAGTGATTCATTAAAAAATAACGCAGTTTCATCGGCTTCACATTTACCAGGGGAGCTCGCAGCTCGTGGGAGTTGTTGAATTTCAGGAATTGACTTTATATTCTTCCATCTGTATGCTCTGCTGGTCTGTGACTCCTGTGTCTTGCACCGATTTTCTCTTTGGTGTGCTAACGTGTTTATATGTTGAAACCGCGTCTGCATTTCCTGACATGTTTCCTCATTTGGGAAGAAGCTGAACGTGGCCTGTGCTGTGTGTGGGGATGTGGGGAAACCTGGGCAGTGAGCGCAGAAGCCACCCCTCCTCCCAGCGCCCGAATCCGCCTGGGCCTCAACTGCAGATGCTCCCGTGGTCCCCACACTGAGGCTCACGCGGATGCTGGTCGGTGCCAGTGACCAGGAAACCGCGTCCCTCGGGCGCTCTCTCCTCAGACACTAGAGCCTGGTCCCTTCTGCTCAGGCCGGTCCCCCCGGCCCAGAACCCTCAGTGCGTCCCCCTGCTCCTCTCCTCCACCCCCAACTCCCCAGCTGCCCTCGGGGCCCCCGTGTGCTGGCCCTTCCTCCATGTCCAACTGGTGCCCTGCACATGCCCAGCTCCCCCAGGGCCCCTGGCTGCCCTGTTCCTGCAAAACCTCGGTCCCTGTCCCTTCAGGTCCTCCTACTATCCACAGGTCCTCTGGGTCCCTTCATGGTGAGGCTGTCTCTATCGAGCATCTTGGGAAGGCGGTCGTGTTCTCTATGTAATTCCTCGTGATAAACACGGAATGACTTCATCCTGGAATTCTGTGACGCAGCAAAACCCCAGTAGTCACCAGCCACACGGGGCCAGCAGAAGTCTGGCCAGGCCCCAGGACACTGACTTATGACAGAAAAAAGAGACCACCTGGACCCCCGCCCGGTTCTCAGGCTCCATCCAGGGGGGCACAGCTGCCCTGACCCTCTCAGGGGCCCAGCCCGATGACCAGGCCCAGCACACTGCCCCCTACTGGTCTCTGATGCAGAGCCCTCCCCACCCCAGCCTCCCAGAGGGCACCCTGACTTTGCACTTGGATCTCTGTGATGTCACCTCCCAGCACAGAAGCAGTCGCTCACTCCATGGGCTGGGGCCTCAGGCACTGGCTCCTGAGAACTAAGGGGCCCGGGCTGCTGCGAGCAGGACGCGTTCCCAGCTCCCCCGCGGCCAGGCATCTGGGCCGACCTGGCGGCGTCTTTAGCTTCGCCACTTGTGCGGTGCCTATCCCATGGAGGACCCTCTGGACCAAGTTCAAGGCTCAAACCCCTACTCGGCACTCGGCCAGTTCACACCGAGGAGGAGCCATGTGAGTCGCCCTCACAAGGTGGCGGGTGTTGCTGTCGTTGTTGGGAGACCCTTTGCGACCCTCCCCCTGCCCGGGTCCCGGCTTTTCAGGTCTGTCTCAGTCACTGCATGTAACACCATCTCAGAAACGGTGTTCGGTTCTCTGTTTTCCACACTTGGCTTTACTTTTTCCTCTCAGCTTTATCCTCGAGGAGCTCATATGCATGTGGCTACAGATAGGATGTTGTTATCTTTACATTTTGATAGTTCCCGGCTGTTATACAGACTACACTTCATTGCAGCAGGTTGGTATTTAATGCAAAATTCAGATTTGAGTCCTCAGACCAGGATCCTCTCTCAGTCACTCTTCCACTCGGATCTGAGCTTGGCCTGAATGAATCTGATTCAACCTCCTCCAGTGTCTCCATGGGAACCTTCATCCCTGAGGAATGTTACCTGTGAGAACGTGAACATGGCGCACATTCCATGAGCAACAAATCAATGGAAACGCTGACCTGACATCAAAGCTGTGACCCTGTCAGGACCCCGGGTCCAGGCATCACCCGGATGGGCAGCTATCAGTACAGTCACAGCTGAGCCAGAACTGGGCAGAACCGCCAGGAGGGGCCGGGGTCAGGCCAGGAGAGAGCAGAGGAGGTTTTTGTCTCACTTCCCTGTGGGTCTGGACCACTGTGTGAGTGTTAGAGCTGCCGTACCATGTGGCACAGTAATAGTCAGCCTCGTCCTCGGGCTGCAGCCCCGAGATGGTCAGGAGCCCCGCATTGGCTGAGGTGTCTGTGGATCCAGAGAACCGGCTGGGCACCCCAGGTCCCAAATTTGTACTTGAGGAGAAGTAGAGCAGGTACTGGGGTGGGCTCCCTGGCTTCTGCTGGAACCAGCGTATCCAGTAATCACCAACATTGGAGCCACTGCTCAGGGTGCAGGTAAGTCTGGCTGTGGCTCCCGGAGATGCAGAGAGGGAGGGCGGCTGAGTCAGCACAGGCTGGGAGAGGGACCCTGCGGACACAGACACTTGTCAGTGATGGGCAGGGACCAGGGGACATTTCCCAGGAGACTGAGCAGGAAGGGAAGAAACCTGGTCCCAGGCCTGTCCCTACCTGTGCAGTGAGAGAGGAGCGCGAGGAGCAGAGGAGTCCAGGCCATGGTGCTCACAGCCCTGAGCCCACAGTGGGGCTGGGCTGCCCAGGCCTCCTTTTCTCCCCACCCTCTGCCAGAGGAGGGGCTGCCATGCAAATGGGGGTCCCTCCAGGGACTGCCCAGCCCCTCCCTGGGCCCTGGGGCTGGAGCTCAGCTCACACCCCAGACTGAGGAGCATGGAGGTGGGCTCACCCCTGGGGGCCCTGGGAGGAAGCACCTGCTGAGACCACACACAGGTGCCTGCTCAGGGGGCGCTGCCAGGCCACCAAGGACAGCAGGGAGCCCACAGTGCAGGTGCCTGTGTGTGAAGGTCTCACTGAATAACTGTGCTGATCACCTGGCAGTCCCACAGCGCCCCCTGCTGGTGGGAGGACACACCCTCCCCTGCCCCAAAGCCCTGACAGCCCAGCTGGCTGTGGGCTCCCAGGTCTCTGTCCCTGTTCCCACACCCACGGTCTGAGCCCAGATACTGGGATGTGAGTCTCTGTATTGATCACCGTAGCATTTCACTCTCAGGTCTGCATCTGTGTGTTGAGCTTAAACATTCACAAATGACAAATGAACATGGTTTCTCTTCCAGTAAAGATGCTGCACAAATAAATGCACAGTGAGCCTCTTGTCCAACGTCACAGGTGAGGGAGCTGCTCAGGTGTGATGAGCTCCTGGGGGCTGTTCAGGTCAATGACAGAAAAGGAATTTTCCAGAAATACCCTCAGGATCATATTCAACGAAGGACCATTCAGCCAACATTTCAAACCCTGTAAGGGATCAAATCATTGTCATGTGATTTGAGTCAGTGATTCATTATGAAAAAATGGTTTGGTGGGCTCCACATTTACTGGTGGGCCTTGTCGCATGTGGGCCATTTAAATTTTAGGAAAAGCCTTTATATTCCAACGGTTGTATGTGCTGCTTTCTGTGACCAACATTGTCTTCAGTGTCCTAAAATGTGCTTATATATATATTTTAAATTCCCTGCCTGTCCTTTCGTGCCTGTTTCCTCATTTTGGGCACAAGCTACAGGGGATGGTGAGGAGCTGGCAGACGTGGTGACTGACACTCTCCCCACACGTACGACGCGTCCCACAGCAGCGTGTGAGCTCCTGAGGGGGGAGGGCATTGCCCCAAAGACCAGGAGCCACATTGTGGCCCTCACTCCTCAGGGCTCAGGGTCCCCGAGAGGAGCAGCCAGTGACTCACAGGAGGGGTGAGCATCAGAGCTCAGCACTGAGGGGGGGACAGCGGTTGTGCCCAAGGACCCCGGTGGGCGCTGCGGCCTGAGACCCCGGGGCCGGGGCAGCAGGGACAGAGGGGCCTCTCTGTGCACAAAGGCCTCAGCCGCTCCCACTGAGCATCAGGGAGGAGGGCCCGGCTGGGGAAGGTCCTGGACACAGTCACTGACCCTGAGAGAGACACAGGGGCCCTCGTCGGAGTTCAGGTTTGAAGTGACCACAGATGGTCCCCAGCTCAGACCCGGGGCTGCAGGGCCAAGTGGGTCAGTGTCCCCGCTGATGGGGATGGGTCTCCTGTTTGGTGTCAGGCCTTGTGTCCAGGAA